GGGATGCCGGCACCGCTGCCGCGTAACGGGCCATCTGCTCTGGCCACCGCGCTTGGCCGTGGGCTCCCCGCCCCTGCTGTGTCCACCCCCTGGGGACCCTGCCCAGCGGGGATCAGGGGGTGCCGTGCCAGGAGCAGGCTGGGCTCCCCACCGATGTCGGGGCTCTCTTGGCCGGCAGGTTCGCTCCCTGGAGGCCCACATGTACCCCGAGAAGCTGAAGGTGATCGCTCAGCAAGTGCAGCTCCAGCAGCAGCAGGAACAGGTGAGGTTGCTGCACCAGGAGAAGCTAGAGCGCGAGCAGCAGATCCGAACCCAGGTGAGTGCGTGGACACCGCCCCAGCCCACCCTGGCCGTAACCCACCCGTGGGGACCCCCCAGCGGCCTTCCACCCCCAAGCGGCGCGGTCGGGCGCACGGGTGTGAAATATGGGGTGTTGGGGCAGTTCAGCGATGTGCTTGGCACCTCCCGTCCTTCAGGGCTGGCTGGGATGGACAGCGGCGTCCCAGCAACGCTCTCGCCCTTGGGGAACTGGGAAACTGTCAGTGCATGGCCCGCCCCTGCCCCCCTCCCAGCTTGGGGGGCTGCGCTAATGGGCACCCCACATGTTGTGGGGCGGGATCATGGCTTGGACCGTGCAGCGGTGGCTTCCAAGTGGCTCCGTGCCCCAGGCTTTGTACGTGGAAGGTCACCTTCTGGCAGGCAGGGGGGATTCCCCGTGGTTTGCCAAGGCTGTGCCGGGAGGTGCTGGGTGCGGCCACCTCTGACTTGCCCCCCGTGGCACCGTGTCCCTCCCCACTAGGCTCTTCCCACCGGGCACGGGTGGAGAGCAGCTCCAGCTCCCACCGGGCACCTTTCCTCACCCTTGGGTGATGAACAGGCGTCTCTCCCCTCCACGGGCGACACCAGTGGTCACAACGCCAGCGGCTGATGCAGGTCACGCTTCCCATGCCGGAGCGGGTGGTTTGCAGCGGCGTGGAGGCTGACCCCATCCTTGGGGATTCACCTCTCACTGGGTGACTCCCGCTGAGTTTTGGGGACCCCCAAACTGCTCCCTGCCACCCGCCGGGCTGGGAAGGGGAGCGGGTGAGCTGGCAGGTGGTGCTGCCAGGGAGACGTGGGGACGGGAGCCTTCAGCCTTTTTCCTTTGGCACCGTCGGCTTTGCCAGCGGCGGGGGGAGCCTTGCACCAGCATGGTGCAGTGAGGAGGGGAGCGCGGTGCTGGCACCCGGTCCTTGCTCGCTGCCACCCTCGAGCTCAGCCCAGGGGGACGTCGGCCTGGGGAGCTTCAAAGGGAGGGAGAAAAACCAGCTTCCTCCCTCCTTTGGCTTCTGCGGAGCCTGCAGGATCCCCGCCGGCTGCCTCCTGGGGAAGTTCAGCCTATTTTTAGGTGAACTCTCCGTAGCCTCCTGCAAGGGCGGATCTTCCCATCCGCTCTTTTAACGAGGGTCTCCGAGGGGTGCGGCGGGTTCCCAGCTGCGCAGGTTGGAGCGATGGGAGGGCTGGCGCTTGCCTCTCCTGACTTATAAGCCCAAATCTTTCCCCCATCGGGAGACAGGGAATCCTTCGCATTCCGCTCTGCCGAAGCTCAGGTGACGGCAGCTTTCAGCTGGCATCCTCTCGCCTCTGCCCGGGACGGCTGAACTGGAGCAGCTGAGCTGCCACTTCCGCTTTTATGGGCTCTCAAAGGAGTTTGGGCTCCACAAACAAGCGTCGTGCTCGTCCCATCGCCGCCATGCCCAGGTCCCTGCTGACCGGGGGGGGTGTTTTTGCTTCTCTCCCCAGCTCCTGCCATCACACGTTCCCCCAGCGCCCACCCACCACCCCACCGTGATCGTTCCAGCGCCGCCTCCCTCCCATCACGTCACCGTGGTCACCATGGGCCCATCCTCGGTCATCAACACAGTCTCCACATCCCGGCAAAACCTGGACACCATCGTTCAGGTAAGGGGGGGACCGAGGGGGACGGCAGCAGGGGGCTTTTGGGGGTGCCTAACCCCCCACCGTGTGCGTCGGAGGGGGGGGGACACGGTGTCCTGACGGCCGG